CATGTGAGAGAATGGGTCTCCATGGTCAGTGTGCACCATATAAAAAAAATCGGGGAGCCAGTGGTGCATTGTGGGAATACCATTTCAGTCGTCCTTTTTCAGCATGTCTAGCGGTAAGAAATATGTGATTCCCCAGCAAATCTGGGACTCTTCTCTTCCCAAGTGATGCTCCAACACAGATGGAAGTGTCAATGAAGATCAATTTCATGGTTTCGAGGAGTTTGAGACCAAAAGCAATGGAGGAGGTGGAGGAGGAGGAGGAGGAGGAGGAGGAGGAGGAAGAGGAGGAGGAAGAGGAGGAAGAAGAGGAGGAGGAAAAAGAGGAGAAAGGAAGGAGGAGAGGAAGGAGGAGAAGAGGAAGGAGGGAGAGGAGGGAAGGAAGGAGGAGAGGAAGGAGGGAGGAGAGGAAGGAAGGAGGAGAGGAAGGAGGGAGGAGGAGGAAGGAGGGAGGAGGAGGAAGGAGGTGAGGAGGAGGGGAGAAGGAGGGAGGAGGAAGAAGGAGGGAGGAGAAAGAAGGAGGTGGGAGGGGGAGGAGGAAGGAGGGAGGGAGGAAGAATGGAGGGAGGAGGAGAAGGTGGAAGGAGAGGAAGAAGAAGAAGAAAGAAGAAGAAGAAGAATAAGAATAATACCTAATACCTAATAATAATAAATGTAATAGTATGTTCCCTTGAGGCATGAAAACAGTTCACCCCATGACAGTGACAAGATAAGGGGAGATAACATCTGATAAGAGCTGACCTTTGATGAGCGTAAACGAGGGTGGAGGGAGGGGGGCAGCTGTCCATCTGTCAAGAGCCAGGAGGAGGAGGAGAAGGAGAAGAAGGAGGAGGAGGAGGAGGAGGAGAAGGAGGATAAGGATAAGGAGGAGGAGGAGGAGGAGGAGGAGGAGGAGAAGGAGGAGGAGGAGGAGGAGATGACGACGAACAAACATTTGTCTGTCTATTTGTCTGTCTGCCAAACTCCCTGTCTATCCGTCTAGCTCTGTCTCAGAGAGAGCCACAAGACTGTGTCATCATCACGTTTACTCACATCTTCAAGCAGAGTATAGCACTTTGTCTGGATTTTTTGGGTTATCCTAGGTAATTTACACTATGTATAGTTGTATTTATGTGTACCTGTGAGACAGAGATAGACAGAGAGAGAGAAAGAGACAGATTGAAAGAGATAGAATGAGGGAGAAAGATAATTAGATAGAATGGAGGGGGAAGCAGCATCCGACCCCACTGTTTTGACAGGCGGTAGGGGGAGTGACTAATGAGACAATATGTCACTTTGACAGCTGCCGACTCCTGACTCAAAACAATTATAAGCCACACACTCGCACACAAGACAAGCTTGCTGAAGGGTGATAATAGCAGTTTTATGAAAATATCTAGTGACTATATATGTGTATATATATTATAGAAACCAGAAGCAAGAAGGGAAGGCAGGAATGAAGGAAGGACTAGATGAAAGGAAGGAAAAAAGTAATGAAGGACAGATGAGGAATGTAGGAAGAGAGGTGGAATGCCCTCAGGTAGCCTCAGGTAGGAAAGGAATGAAGGAAATTAGGAAGGAATGATGACACACGACCATTTACCTAGGATAACTACATAACACAACTGCCTGCTAATACTTTGAAGAAAGCTGCTCAGACGAGGTGTTTTGTCTTTGTACATAAAAAAAAAAATTCAACAAAAATGCACACACACTGATTTTATGTGTGAGAGTGTAAAACACCATTGTGTATGACACCATGTTTTATGTGTGAGAGTGTAAAACACCACTGTGTATGACACCATGTTTTATGTGTGAGAGTGTAAAACACCACTGTGTATGACACCATGTTTTATGTGTAAGAGTGTAAAAACCACACTGTGTATGACACCATGTTTCACAGAGTTCCACAAGCTGCAGAACTTCTAGGAGTATGTTCAGTGACTGTATATTGGTATATATATTATAGAGCAATAGTAATAAACAATTTTTTGTATTGTTTGTTTTTGTAAACAAGTTTTGTGAACAATATATTGATAATTATGTTTGTGTGCTTATTGTGTTGTATACAACGAGTGTATATATGTACATTGCACCTTACTTTGGTCTCACAGGCCACATAAGTTATGTGAAAAAATAAAATAGTGAAAAAAAACACAACCTTCAAATACAAGTAAAACTAAACTTTACTGGGTGAGCGGCAGTCGCCGCTGTTGCCATACGCGGCTCATTTTCTGCAAACTTCATGCCTCTATATCTCGGTAAGTACTGATGGGAAAAATTTTTTTTTGGGACTAAAACAATCAGAAAAATAATCTTAACATTTTCATAAGAAAAAATAATTTTTTTTTTTCGAATATTTTGCGACACCAGGAGACACTTCAGGATTGGGCCCTTCGACAGTCAAAGGGTTAAAGCTCCTATATTGGAGTATCTCAGGCAAACTTAGGACTAACTTAAGATTTATTCGGCTATATCTATGTTAGGACTTTTTATGTTTACAGTCATTTGGGTGAGTGTAAGTGTAGATTAGGGAGAATTACAGATAATGAGAGTAAGTCTATTTTGTTTTGGATGTGTTAATGATATGAAAATACACCGCAAAGTTGTTGTTTTACACCAGAGGCACGGTCGCCGATTTTTCTCATCATGCACTGCATGCTGCAGGATTTTTTTTTTATATAATGCACACTTACCACACAGACTTATTCTCTCATATGTAGGCCCAAATTTACCGGTCACAGCTTATCTGAGTGAGTTGAGCTCATAGCGACTGACAGTGGCTTGAAAGCCACCTTATCTTTTATGGATAATATACAGTGTATGTGCTTTACACAATGAGAATTTCTTTTATTTGTTGGAACCATGGCTAGGGCTAAAAGTGAAAAAGAAATTGGAAGAAAAAGAAATTGGAATGACACATGCAGCAAGTAGTGGCAGGTTGGTAAGGCGGCCCTGGGAATTTGAAAGTATGCTACTCGAAATTAGTGCCGGATTATTGATGGAACTGGATAACTGATCGCCAGATTTGTGATGGCTGACCTGTACAGGCTAAGATGTTAGGTACTGATTATTCTGTGCTAGGTTTACTACTGCTATTACCTTTATCATATTGATGGATCAGTTAATGTTAGACTGTCCTGGAGGTGCTGTCTTGGAGAAATTATATAGGATACTCTTGACCTTTTTTTTAACTACTCATATTACTGTTACCAGGCAGCCTCTTCAGCTTTCTTCATGTGCTGCTTTTTTTTTTTTATAAATATTATTGTCTCATTTTTTAATTTTTTTATTTTCTATTTTTCCTGTTTCTCCATTTCTCAATTTTACAGTATATGCTTGGTGAAGCCTCCTTTGTTCTTTCCCAATGTTTTGTTTTTCAATGCAAGTTAGAATTGCTTCACTTGTACAGGCAAACAATTGAGGTAAGGTTTTGCAAGCTTAATAGATGTTTCAAGTAATATACAGATTATGGTATCTGAAATGTTAGGAGGGAGCAAGGTATCAAAGATTAGTTGATTGATTGGTATCAAAATGATTAAGTTATAGAATATGCTTGCTTCCGTAACGTTTTTTTTTTTTCTAAAGTAGAGATAGTATATCTATTATTGGTATTAATGTACAATATGTTATTTCTTGTTAGGTTTAATCAGTGTAGAATACATGTAGATGCATGTGGTTCAGTATTAACCCTTTTACTGTCAGTCTTGTAATATTACGGGTTGCAAGCCAGTGTCGGTCCCGTAATAGTACGCCAAAATTCTAGCAGCTTCCAGTCTTGCCGGAGAAAGCTGGTAGGCCTACACATGAGAGAATGGGTCTGAGTGGTTAGTGTGTGTAGTATAAAAAGAATCCTGTAGCATGCAGTGCATAATGAGAAAAAACTGATTGTTTTTCTTTTAAAATAGTGACTTTGCAGTGTATTTTCATATAGTATTTATGGTTGTATTCTCATTTTCTTGGTCTCACTTGATAGAATGAAAGATATATTACGGAACTAGAGATGATTTTTGAATGGTTTACAGACTAAAAGTGGAAAGGTTCAATTTTTGCCAATGTTTAGGAGTAAACAAATCACGTCACGCCTCCAATACACGTCAACTGGTGGGTCTAATAGGCTTTCACAAATTCGCTGATACTATTTGTACCATTTTTACAATAATGCATAACAAATCTATTTTTTGTGTGAATAAAAATTAAAAATGGAAAGCAAGTGTAATATAAAAGGGGCCTGGAGATGTGACTGATGAACAGATAAAATGTTATTTTAGCTCTAGGAATGTTTGCATTGTTAATTCTGGACCCTATTTTGAAATTGGCCACATTATGAATTTCTGATCACTTTATTGGGTAGTTGAAATCAGTAAATGGGCAGTTTCTTGTACTCAGTCAATAGAATAAAAGGAGTTGTAGTGAAATAGCTATGAGTTTGGTCGACTGGAAAAGTGGAATTAGCCGAAAATAGGGCTCAAAGTGGGCAAAATTGCTGATGCGTAAACATCACCGAGACCTCTAACTTCGTGAGTGTAATTCCTTAAGTTTATCGTCAAATTTCATACTTTTGGTGTCATTACCATCGGGAAAAGATTCTCTGTCATTTTGTAAGAAAAATAATAATTTTTTTTTTTTTTTTAATTCTTCAACACCGAGTGCAAATTTGTGAACAGGGGTCTTGACAGTGAAAGGGTTAATACAGTACAACACCTGGTTCAGGATTAATAAAGTACAACACTTAGTGATAGATATTTAAACTGCTTTGGAATATGGAAGAGAGAGTTACTGTAATGTTAAGAGAACAAAAAGATACAACACTGAGTGGAATGCACAAATAACCTGCACATAGAAGAGAGGAGCTTATGATGTTTCTGTCTGTAACTTTGTAAATGGTCCATGTTGAACCGAAATGTCGTCATAAGCTCCCCTCTTCTATGTGTTGGTTATTTGTGCACAGTATTGTTAATTTTATGTCACTTGCAGCTATATTGTATTATGTTTTTAATTTAGTCTATATTTAATGCTTTCAGGAAGTGGGCATTCCTATAGATATGGTAGCAGGAGTGAGTATTGGTGCATTTATTGGTGCACTTTATTGCTTGGAGAAGGATATTACACGTCTCACGCAGAAGGCTCGTGAATGGAGTATGGTAAGTGTGGCAGTATTTGACCAACTGTTGTCACCCACATAGTTCTAGGTTATTGATGCTAGTTTCACTCAGAGATCCAAGTCTGAATCACTACACCCTTAAATATGCTGTTTAACCCTTTGACTGTTTCTGTCATATATATATATATGTCTTACGAGCCACCGTGTTTGACGTATACAGTGGACCCCCGGTTTACGATCACCTCCCAATGTGACCAATTATGTAAGTGTATTTATGTAGGTGCGTTTGTACGTGTATGTTTGGGGGTCTGAAATGGACTAATCTAATTCACAATATTCCTTATGGGAACAAATTTGTTCAGTACTGGCACCTGAACATACTTCTGGAATGAAATAATATCGTAAACCGGGGATCCACTGTATATGCTCAAAAACTCTAGTGGCTTCAAATCAGGCAGGAGAAAGCTGGTAGGCCCACATGTGAAAGAATGGGTCTGTGGTCAGTGTGCACCATATAAAAAAAATCCTGCAGCACACAGTGCATAGAAAAAAAAAAACTCCGACCGTGTTTTTGGACTAAAACGCCGACTTTGCGGTGTATTTTCGTATAGTATTTATGGTTGTATTATCGTTTTCGTGGTCTCATTTGATAGAATAGAAAACATATTATAGAAATAGAGGTGATTTTGATTGGTTTTACTATGAAAAGAACCTTGAAATGGAGCTCAAAGTCGGGGAAATGTTTGATTTTTGCCAATGTTCATAAGTAAACAAATGATATCATTGTCCAATAAATGTCCAAGTAGCCACTCTAATATGCAGTCATGAATGAGTTGACATTATTTATACAATTATTACAATATTGCAGTAGTCTACATAACAGTAAATCTTCTATTTTTTGTTCGAATAAAAATTCAAAACAGAAAGCAAGAGTAATATCAGAGGGGCCTGGAGACTTGACTGATAAACAAAGAAAATGTTATTTTAGAGCCAGGAATGTCTGCATTGTTCATTCTGAACCCTATTTTGAAATTGGCATATTCTTTAATTTGCGTGAAATTGGCCAAATTGCAAATTTCTGACCACGTTATTGGGTAGTTGAAATTGGTAAATAGGCAGTTTCTTGTACTCGGTCAATAGAACAAAAAGAGCTCTAAAGATATAGTTACAAGTTTGGGTGACTGGAACAATGGATTATTAGCCGAAAATAGGGCTCAAAGTGGGCAAAATCGCCAATTCGTAAATATCGCCGAGGTCGCTAACTTTGCGAGAGTGTAATTCCGTAAATTTTGTTCTTTTGGTGTCATTACCATCGGGAAAAGATTCTCTATCACTTCATAATTTTTTTTTTTCTTTCAAAAAATTTTCGACACCAGGAGGCACTTCAAGATTTGGGGTTGCGACAGTCAAGGGGTTAAGGGATATGGAGCATGTAGAGACAAGCAAGTTAAAGGACTGTAGAAAGGTACTTAGCTTGAATGACGGCTCAACATTCCGCAGCAGCCTCTGGTCATTTTCCACGAGCTGTTGATGCTACCACCTTTGGGCTGTGGGAAATCAAGTAATCTTGAATATATAATTGCCCCAAAGGAGCATATGTTTCATCAATTCACTGGTACAATGCTGATTAGATGATTACTTACTTTTTTTGGGCTCAATGGCCCACGAATAACAGGGTATTTTGGTAAATCCAGACATGCTGTGCCCTGGCCATGTGCTCTACAGCCGACCTAAATAGGCTCATAACTTGCTAGACTTACCTGGGTATATATATCAGACCTACAAGGTTTTCCCTGGCTTGTGGTAGGGAATTACCCCAATATCCGTTGTCTTGATCAAAGTAATAGTGTCTTACAATGCACTCACTCTCTCTGAAGATTGTTCGCAACACTGTTACACTACACTAAGATCAAGATTAGTCTTTGTTTCACGGTATTTCGCAGCAGGATGACCTGTCCCACTTCACTGTATCATAGTTCTACTGCGAATTGTTGAGATTGTCAACCCGTAAATGGTCCAAATGTATATATACCGAGATTTTCAATTAACCCGTAAATGGTCCAAATGTATATATACATTCTCTTGCGTAGTGCCCCAAATTTTTTGAGAAATTTTTTTTTTTTTTTTTTTTTAAATAGGAAAAAGAGCATATGGTACCCAGGCATCCCCAATTATTTTAATATGGTGCACAGTGAGTGTGCACACCCATTCTCTCATGTCTAGGCGACTCAGGCTTATCATGGCAATGTTGAATGTATGACAAATAAAACGTATAGTATATACGTTTGGGGCACTAGCGGTAAAAACGTATATATACGTTTGGACCGTTTACGGGTTAAAAGGTCGAGAATGCACTGCACTATAGTTCCTTTGTTATGGTCAATGCTTGCGCAAACACATGCTTCCCGTATGTCCCTGGAAACCAATCTCGCCTCATCCCTGCACTTTGGCCCTAAATCGCTGACTTCAGCATATTTCCTTTCTTACTTGACTTCATCACAATGTTCAATACAAGTGATAGATTTTCTGGTATCTGCTCATCAACAACAGTTCATTATTGCCCCACATAGCAGTTAAAGTGATGCAGGGTTTTCCTGTACTTTTCCTGCCAAATTGAAGAGAGTCCCTTTTCTCTCACTGTCAATCGTATTTTAATGAACACGGTGGTGCAAAAGGAGGCGGCATGACTATGCTCTGCTACACGTTAGTAATGCATTTGCTTCATATTAAATTGTTGATGAAAAGCAGGATGCCATTTGCCCTTTCTGAGAGGGTTGAGTCCCTCAGGGGGCTGAAAGGGCTGATACCCCTCTCCCTTCTGGAGAAGTTTTCTCCACACTGGGGGGCAGGCGAAAGTTTGCCTCGGGTGACCTATTCATCTCTTAACATAAATTTGATTTTCTCACTCACCACCACTGCTGATTGTCTTTTCTGAACAGCTTTAATCTGTGGGGTTTCTGGAGAATCAATACTTTTGTTTTCAGCACTGTGTAATTCTAACAGCTCTAGTTTATCTGTTGTCCACTTATTCACTACACCCTTGCTCAAAACATCAGCAGTCCTGACGGTTCCATTTGCATCAGGATATATGGTCACTATTTTTGCAAGAGACCATTGGGACCTCGGACCATCATTGTCAATAATCACTATGTCACCAGGTCTTAAGGACCTGATGTTTTTTGCTTAAGGTGAGTTAGTCTTCTCACCAAATTTTCTTCCAATGTTCAGTCACTTTATTAAGGTGTTTAAATTTACATCTGAACTGCTCAGATTCAAAATAAGTAGGATTCTCTATGATTTCTTTATCATTCATAGGAGGAACAGGTTCGAGCCTTGTGCTGTGGAGTAAATGAGATGGACCTAACACTTCTAAATTGTCCAGATCGTTGGTAACATTAGTTAGAGGTCTGTTGTTGACTCTATTTTCTATTTCAATCATGACTGTGTGAAATCTTCTAAGTTGTTCCACCAATGATGAAGAGTCTTCCTTAAACAATGTTTTATGATGCCTATCATTCTCTCATAAAATCCACCTTGCCATGGAGCTTTAGGAGGAATGTGTCTCCAACGACAACTACGTTGATTCAGTATCTGTTGTCCCTCTGGCTGATCAAAAACCTTGCTTATATATGCAGCACCAGCAACAAAGTTCATTGCATTTTCTAAAATTATCAGTCTGGGACACGCTCTTCCGCCTGCAAACTTATTGAATAGTTTGATAAAGGTTTCAGGAGACATGTCAGTGGCTACTTCTAGATGTACTGCTCTAGTCGTAGCACAAGTGAACAAACTGATGTACACCTTGATGGGAACTTTGTCAACTACTTTAGTCAAAATTATTGGTCCAGTGTAATCTACACCTATCACCTCAAATGGAGTAACATGACATACTTGTTCAGAGGAATATGGAGGTGGACCTGGATACTGACATACTCACATATCGTAGTGACGACAAGTAATGCAATCGCTTATTTGTTTTTTCACACTTTGTCGACCTTGAAGTATCCGGTAGGATTGTCTTATGTGACAGTGTGTGTCGGCTACCCCACCATGTAACACATTACTGTGGGCATTTTTAACAGTTTTTTTTAGCCAATGATTCTTGGGGCTCAATATTTGATGTATTGCTTCTTTAGGTAGTGAAGAATTATGAATTCCTCCTCGACATCTTGTAATCTTTCCTGAGTAGAGATAAAGTTCTAAAGAATGAATCATATTAAGAGCATAAGAACATGAAAATGAAGGAACACTGCAACAGGCCTACTGACAAATGCAGAGCAGGTCCATGCCCCCCCCCTCCCCGGAATAACCCAATACTCCCCCTTCCCCCGGATTAGCCCAATGACCCACCCAGTCTGGTCACCACTCAAGGAAGGAGCACGGCACCAGACCCAGCAGCACAAGCTAGTCAGGTCCAACTCACACTCACCCACACCCACTCATGAATTTATCTAACCTATTTTTAAAACTACACAACGTTTTAGCCTGAATAACTGTACTCGGGAGTTTGTTCCACTCATCCACAAGTCTATTACCAAACCAGTGCTTTCCTATATCCTTCCTGATTCTGAATTTTTCGAACTTGAAACCATTGTTGCAAGCCCTGTCTTGGCTGGAAATTTTCAGAACGCTATTTACATCCCCTTTATTTATTCCTGTTTTCCATTTATACACCTCGATCATTTTTTTTTTTTTTTTCAACAAGTCGGCCGTCTCCCACCGAGGCAGGGTGACCCAAAAAAGAAAAAATCCCCAAAAAGAAAATACTTTCATCATCATTCAACACTTTCACCACACTCGCACATTATCACTGTTTTTGCAGAGGTGCTCAGAATACAACAGTCTAGAAGCATACACATATAAAGATACACAACATATCCCTCCACACTGCCAATATCCCAAACCCCTCCTTTAAAGTGCAGGCATTGTACTTCCCATTTCCAGGACTCAAGTCCGACTATATGAAAATAACCGGTTTCCCTGAATCCCTTCACTAAATATTACCCTGCTCACACTCCAACAGATCGTCAGGTCCCAAGTACCATTCGTCTCCATTCACTCCTATCTAACACGCTCACGCACGCTTGCTGGAAGTCCAAGCCCCTTGCCCACAAAACCTCCTTTACCCCCTCTCTCCAACCCTTTCGAGGACGACCCCTACC